CAAGAGCCAAGTAACAAAGATGATGCAATGGAGGAACAAGAACAAAGTAACAAAGATGATAAAATGGAGGAACAAGAACAAAGTAACAAAGATGATGCAATGGAGGAACAAGAGCCAAGTAACAAAGATGATGCAATGGAGGAACAAGAACAAAGTAACAAAGATGATAAAATGGAGGAACAAGAACAAAGTAACAAAGATGATGCAATGGAGGAACAAGAGCCAAGTAACAAAGATGATGCAATGGAGGAACAAGAACAAAGTAACAAAGATGATAAAATGGAGGAACAAGAGCCAAGTAACAAAGATGATAAAATGGAGGAACAAGAAAAGGAGAATGAAGCTGATACAATGGATGAACAAGAAAAAGAGAATGATGTTAATTCAGGAGAGGAACAAGAACAAAGTAACAAAGATGATAAAATGGAGGAACAAGAACAAAGTAACAAAGATGATAAAATGGAGGAGGAACCAGAACAGAGTAGCAAGGTTGATACTGTGGAGAAACAACAAAAAGAGAATGAAACTATTAACGAAATTAAGCAAGAAAATGATGATGAAACTATTGAAAATAAACCAGAAGAAATTAAATCATGATCCACGAGTTAAGGAAAGGATTTAATTAGTTCTGATCTGGGCAAATTTTTTAAATTTCATAATAATAGCAATCAATTTTTCACATCAATAGAAAGTCATGCATTTATTATGTTACATAAAAAAATTTTATATCAAACTATCTAAATCAAAAGTAAAAACTATATTTATTTACAAAAACATGAACTGTTAATTTTGTCAGTTTTCTGTTATTTAATGAGCGGTCCCAGATTGTGGGTATAACATTCATACATTTAAATATATAAAATAATTAGAATGTGTCCCAGAAGAACAATATTATTAAGTGTAAATTTATTTCTTTAATAACCACAATGGTAGCTATTGACTTTATTTATTTTTACTGTGTTTATTTATATCCATAAAAAACTAACAGTAATTGTTACATATAATAATAGAGGGAAATTTATGATATTAATTTTAACAGGTTAATAAACTATCACGGGTCAAAATAGCTATATTTAAAACAAGAATTATTGAGGCGTGTAAAGTTGGTGTCTGCAACTAAGAAATTGCAATTTGGGATGTTTCAACCTAGGTTGCAACTGGTTGCAGAATTTCAAATCAGTTGCAGATACAAACTTTAGAGGCATGGCAGATTTATTCTTATTATTAAACGATAAACTGATTGTGTCACATGATTATAATATAAAGTTGCAAAAAAATAAGTTTTATTTCTGCCAGTGATTACATGGGACCTACCTGATAATGAATGTTAAATCTGGGTGTCCATTTTTCTGGTAACTTTGTGATTATAATTTGAAACTATTGACTATTTTTTGGTAGGCTTATAAGGATTCGATCCAAGAACTTACATTGATTTTTTAAAATTTCTAAATATTTAGAAATTCATATAGTTCCAAGATTTGCTAACTTATTGTTGAAATTTTTTATGATGGTTGTAATTTGATTTTAATGTTTGAATCATCAAATTTAAAGTGTTCATTATTAGAGAACTTGATTAGATCTGTTGTGGTATTTGCAACTTTTAAATTTGCTCTCTCTAAACATTCTAGTAAAATTATTTCATCAACTCATATTATTAGTGTTGAAAACGTTGACAAAATTGGTGGTTAATTAATAATATTTATTATCTTAAATCTTTAATGGTTGAGTTGCTACTCGTTTAGTCACATCAAATGTATCTCTGGCCCAAACAGTTAATAAATATCTGCTGAAATCCTTTAATTATTAAATAAGTTTGACAGGTAACTAAAAATTTCCAGAAAAAAATAAATCTCATTTAGAAATGGTTGAAATGTTATTCTGATTTTTGTTTTTTTTACGAAAAATTAAATGTCCTGTTTAGTAATCTTAGTGATGGTTAAGGATACCAATTACAACTTTTGATGGTGGTTGCAACCTAATTGCGACCAAATTTTTTAATTGAGGCAGATATCCTTGGTGGGGATTTTTTTGAAATATTCTTTTTGATATTCTTCAAAAAAAGGCCTGGTGCATATAACAATTACACAAGAGATTATAAGTTCTGAAAATTATATAAATTCAATACTTCCAAAAAAAAAAAAGGATCCTGGGGCACCACCTTAAAACCTATTATTTTTACTAGCTACTTTTTAATAGTATAATAATATTATGTTAGAAAACAGAAATAAATGAAATCCATAACAATAAAGGCATCCATCATTCAAATTCTCAACCACCCCCAATCACTATAGTCTTTAACACGTTGGTGCTTTGCGCTTTTTTCAATTGGTCTTTCTCATCACATTAATGTGAGGTGTCACCGTTACTGTTAATAAATTTAAGTTAGTATTAGTAATAACGAATCAATCCCGAATTGTTACGTTTTTTTGGTGGCAGGAAAGTATTTTCTTTACATTTTCAAAAAAGGCATGGTGTTTAAACATTAACAACAAGTAAATTGATTCCAAATTATTATGAATCTTACATTTTCGAAAGAAAGCTTGATTAATTGATTTTCTTCACATTTTTAAAAAAAGGCATGGTTGTTTAATATTAACGATAAGGGAATTAATTATGAATCTTTACATTTTCAAAAAAAAGCTTGATTGATTCCTTTAACAATAATGAATTAAATTCTAAATTGTTTAGCGACTATGAACGTTTCGGGAACACTTAATGATCATGATCAAGATATAATTATTGACAATCATAATAAAGTTATATAAGTCCACGTAACCTTCTAATAATAAATGTTTATTTCAGAATATCTTAATAAATATATTTCGTTTGGTGACATTCTATCCAAAAAATAATTTTCTCCACCACTAAAAAATAGTTATAATAAATGGCAATGATGAAAAACGTTAATAATTATTATAATCATTATTACAATTAATTAATAAATATAGAGGATTCTTTATTTTTACATTCACCTCCTTCTCAATAAAAAATAAATAATAGTGTGGATAATATATATACCTTTTAGGAAGTTGACTTTCATGAACCATTCTTATAGCACGACAAAATATTGTTTTCTGAAGATCCAATTGACTTGATAATAAATCTAAAAAAGAAAATTAAATCAGAAAAAATCTATTTATTTTATTATTACTGTTATATTGACCTATATTTTGATTATTTTTCTCTTCCGCTACTTCAATTTCATCATCATCTAGATCATTTATATCATCTAAAAATGCATTCTTTTCAAACTGTTTAATAAGTTTTTTGTAACTATTTTTTAAAACGATAATCAATATTAATATAATATGATTTATTTATAATTGTTCTTACATAATAATAATCAAGACTTGCTCGTTAGCGAATACCGATTCTGTGTCTGACAATCTTTGCAAATACACTGGTGTATTTAATATTAATTCTAATTGTTTTTCAATCTTTTGATTTATATAATATTTTCCTTTTTTTAATATATATATTTAACATAATCTATTAATAAATAATAAAAATAATAAAATTCTTTACTTTGCTTATTCGTATTATTGTATATTTTTGTATTATATATTTCATATGTTCAATATCATTGGTATTCCAATTATTATTGTTGTTACCACTATTATTATTATTATTCCTGGTCACATTATTGTTACTATTATTATTGTTGTTGTTGTTGTTACGACTACTACTTTTGTTGTTTCCTCCATTATTACCATTTTTGTTTTGTGGACAGTCTTTGCTGTAGTGTCCTAATTCCTGGCAGCGATAACATCTGACTCCTATGTTTCCACTGCTGTTACTATTGCCATTATTATTACTGTTATTAATATTAGAGAGTTGTGGACAATTCGGTTTTATATGACCCTGTTGTTTACAGTTGTAGCGTGTTACCGGCGAACGGTTTTCAATCCTTGATTTCTGCTGGACATTATTATTGTTCTTCATTAGATTAACTAGTTGATCAATTAACCCTTGCAATGGTTGATTACTTCCTGTATTCATCTCTGGAATGTTAGGCGTGAATTGTTCTGCTGAATATGCTGACAAGGTTCCTCCTCTAGAATATGTCATCTCACAAGCCTTGGCTCTATCTATTGCATCTTGAATAGTGTCAGGTAAGAATTAGTGATGGTCACCAAAACTAAGGAGTTTTGAAATTGTTTAGTTTTGATAAGTTTCGAAACCAGTTTCACAATGATCCTATTTTTTCAAAGTTATGAATGTCAAAACCTATGTCAAAACTCAAAACCTATGTCAAAACTATCCAAGCGTGTTGGGGATCCTACGTCTGCGGATAAACCCTCTAATAAAAAACCGAAAACAGTTAATAGAGAAGATTCACCAAATCTGAAAAAACTTATCAATGAATTATCATCTACTGAAAACTTTCCACAAGTTACCGGAATTATAGAAGAGAATGCTCCCTCAGAAAAAGCAACCATTTTTTTATATCTATTTAGCAAAATTGACCGTGCCGAATCTAGAAATGAAGTTACGAATAGAGAGGTTATTTTAATTTCGGTGAAGCTTTAAAAAAACGGCGCACGGAACTTAAAAAAAATAATAGTGGAAATGCGTCTAGTGCTATTATTGGCAGAGAACTTCGTGATCAAATTCCTATAAAAATTACAAAGGAAGCTCTTCGTAAAAGAACCGAAAGATAGATCTATAGGCCTTTTGATGGTAAAGAAAAAAATAAAACAAGTTAGAACTTTTACAACATCATCCATATCTAGATTAAATATGAATGATATCAATCGTATTATCACCAGAGTTTTAAAGGAGTAATAGATCTCACATTCTCGATATGTTGTATATCGAAATCAGATATTTTTGCCTAATAAAGTTCTATTTTAACTATTACTGCGCCTGTGAGCTTGAACTCACGTTTTATCACATTTCGATTTTTTCATAATGGACTTCTTGCATACTGGATTACATTCAGTCATGTATTACTTTTCTTCTATATGTATTAGTTGAAATCGTATCATTTTCACCCACATCGGGCTTTATATTACCAACCATATATATATGCATGTGAGTTTGGTGTGGGAATTGGAAAATAGATCAAGAGTTTGGACATAACGTAATATTTTACTGTGGAAGTTATTAGCTAAAAAAAAGGTGAGTTGAAAATTATGTTTTGAAATGAATGTAAATCCACGTAGTAAACATAACTGTACCAAGAGACATGGATTTTCCTTATGAATTGTGCAAATCCAGTAATATGTCAAATTGAGTAATATTGATCAATCGGACTGAACACTTTAAAAATGATAAAACTTTCACAATTTAATTTTCAAAGAATTTACAAATTAATCCATGATTTTAAAGAATTAGCTATAGGATAAATAATTTCACAATCTACTATGCAATAATAAACAAAATAACAATAATAAGAACTTTATTGTATATTAAGTTCACGTTTTAATTTTAGAAGTTCTAGCTTTTCACGCTCAAGTTTGATTTCACGCTCTTCAATTTCTAATTGACGTTCTTTTAATAATAATCGTCGATCTTCCATATTATCATCCTGCGTCAAATCAATTACAACCTTAGTTTTTTTGGCTTTGGTTTGTAATTCTGATGCCTGCCGTTTAACTACTAAAGAAATTATTTTTTATTGGTTAAATAAAACGAATAATAAAAACCTTATATAAAATTTAAATACATTTTCATACCAACAGATTGTTTCCTTTACCTTTGTTTTTATCAGATTCCTGTAACACAATATCATTGGATTCCTGTAATAAGCAAAGAAAATTAGCACTTGGAAGACATTTTATATTGTCATTTCAGTTAAAGAATTACTTGAAAAAATTCAATGATTGAAATCACATGCCACAAGGAATTTATAGTGCTTACATCATCTTTTCGTTGAAGAATATTGGAACATTCAGCAGATGGTTGTTCAACAACTTCATTAGTCACTAGCTTATGTACTTATTTAAACCGATGGAAAATTTGCCGGAATATACAGCTAGCTACAGTACCTTGACATTATTACTGGTTGTTGTATTGATATGTTGGTCAAGCTCATTAGTAGCCTGAACAGTTTGCAATGTTCGTGCAATTTCCAGTACATCTAACGCATCAATCTGCGAGTTGAATATGAATATGGACTATGCAAAAAAAAGTTATTAACAAATGTAACCTGAGTCAATCTGCAAAAATTGTCATTTCAAAGTACAAACCTTTTTATGTTGAAGTTTAGCTTCAGAGCTTATGCGGTTTTTTTCCATTTTTGCCTTTTTCCAGAACCTTGTATTAGTTGGAATCAATTTCTTGGAGAAAAAAAAAGTGTCCATTAGCAATTATTATTGGTCTTTACAGAATTTCTAGAATTTTTTTTTTTTTGTTGCAAAAGGAACGACACCCCCCAGGAATCCCAGGAGGAACGACACCCCCATAGGACCGTTTGCAAGAACAAAGGACGACACCCCCCTGGGTTATGCAACGCACGAGGAACGACACCCCATACACAGCTAATCTTAAGAGCATGTATGGTTGTTAATGGAGTGACTCCGGTTATATGTTTTATTATAGCCTGGAGCACTCCATTAACAACCCTATTTAAGAGAAATGATACTCCAAAGAAAGACTCTCTTGCAAGGTAGAGGAACGACACCTCCCTGTGTTGTGCATATTACTAGGAAAAAGACAATAAAATATCAGAAATCACCTGGTTACTTAGCAAGGTTGCTATATAGCGCACTTGCTCATCTTTTTTTTCATCATTACTAATTTTCTTCAGTGCTGTCAAAAATCTTTTTCTCCAAAGTGCTGAAAGTTCAGCAACATTTTCATCTTCCATAATTAAAGGCTTCATTTTTTCAAGAAAGCTATCATACGACCATAATGCCGGTTTGTCTTCAAAATAAGAGGAAATCGCCTTGTCTAGAAAAATATAAATATATATCCTAACTCTTTTTAACTCCAAATAATGTGCATAAAAGACAACCCTTACCAATCCGAGCCAAAAAGGAAATTTCTGAAATCTCTGACATTTGTTTGTTGTGAAGATTCGTCGAAACAGCGAAGGAATTAAAAAAAAGAACAACGACTCGTAGTAGTTCACTGCAAAAGCAAATACAAATTTTTATACTAATACTAACTCACTGACGCGTTGTAGTAGATTAATGACGCCACCAAATTTGTAAACGATCAATAAATAATCCAATTTTTAAGTGATCAACACGTGTGATTTCTAAATAGTGTTTGCGTCATTCCTGTGAAACAAAAAAATTTAAAAATATTGGTTATGAATTTATGTCATTAATAACATCATTATTAGTATTAGTAAACAATAAAATAACGGTGGAAACAAAATTCTAAATCATCAATAATTATAATTTATAATAATAAAAATTTTGTAAATAAGTTTTGACATAGGTTTTGACTTTTGACATAGGTTTTGAATTTTGACATATGTTTTGAGTTTTGACATATGTTTTGAGTTTTGACATAGGTTTTGAGTTTTGACATAGGTTTTGAGTTTTGACATAGGTTTTGAGTTTTGACATAGGTTTTGAGTTTTGACATTGGTTTTGAGTTTTGACATAGGTTTTGAGTTTTGACATAAGTTTTGAGTTTTGACATAGGTTTTGAATTTTGACATATGTTTTGAGTTTTGACATAGGTTTTGAGTTTTGACATAGGTTTTGAGTTTTGACATAGGTTTTGACTTTCATAACTTTGAAAAAAATAGGATCATTGTGAAACTGGTTTTGAAACTTATCAAAACTAAACAATTTCAAAACTCCTTAGTTTTGGTGACCATCACTAATCGTGGCTTAATAATTTTTTTTCTAAGAGTACGAATGCACTTTAATTCATCTTCGCATACATCGAAATCACTTAGAGGAATACTAAAAATTTAATAAATTTCATTATGGTATCTGTAATAGAAATTTCTGGAATAAAGGTTTCATCGTTCATCTATTTCTGTTGGTTGAATTAATACAATAATATCCTCGTCTTCCATTATTAATTCACCCGCAACCATGTTATTCTCAATATTTAAATACTCGTCCGCTAACAGTGAATCATCAAATGGGATTTATTTAATTAAATCTTGAACTTCACGATTTTCTTATTCAACATATCAACTTCAAAAATTATAAATTTTGTTAAAACTTGAATAGAAAGTAGATCGACATTATTTTTAAGCCGAATTTTATCATTATAAACCAGTTTATGATCATATTCGGCTTAGAAAGTATTATTTTGCACAAACCATTAAGTTCGGTTTATCGAGTAAAGTAAAAATTATAACAATAATAAAATTCAACAAGAAGTTGATTTAGTGATCATGAATGAGCTGTGCGTCGCAGATCAGATTGATAAAAATAAGAATAAAAAGTAAACGAAAATGGCCGACTGAATGACAGAGAAAACAACAATTGGCAAACAACAGAGAAGAAAGAAAGAACACAGTGGTTTAAACAGCGATTGCTCATTTTCAGGGATGAATCAAAGATAAAAAACTAAGATCTTTTTCATTACAATTTGTTTAAACCATTTTGATTAATCGTCTCAAGACTAGTGC